ATATTATTATTATTTGATTTTTAAATTATAAAAATATATAAAATTTTAAAAATAAATGATATATTAAAATTAAATATTAAAAAAAAATTATTTAAATAATTTTAATATTTAAAAAAATTTAAAAATATTAAAAATTATTTTTATAAAAAAAATTAATATCTTAAATAAAAAAAATAATAATAATATTATTAATATATTAAAAATATAATATTAAATATAAAAAAATATAATAATAATAAATACAATATAAAAATATATATTTATATATTAATATATATATATATTATAAATATTAAAAATAATAAAATTATTAAATTTTTTATTAATTTATAAATAATAGATATTATTTATTTATATTTCTTTTTATTTCTTTTTTCTGTAATATTTTTTGGATAACATTAATATAAAAAATTAATTTAAACTTTTATTTTTATTTTAAATATTTTCATTATTATTGTAATATATTTTTTTGTTAAAGCAAAATTTTTAGTTCATTATAAATTTTTAATTAATCTTCTACAGTTAATTAGTTAATTATTTTAAACAATTATATTGTATCAAAGAATTTTTATGAAAATACCACTTAATGTAAATAAATATATGTAAAAGTTCCCTTATTTATAAAAAATATATAATATATAATAATAAAAATTACCATCAATAAAAAGCAATCAATATTATTACTTATTCCATTATAGATATTTTATGTTTCCCCATATTCTTTAATTTTTAGAGCCTTTGTAAATCCTAATGTAAAAAAACCTCCAAAAGGTGCAATAAGTGATCCAAAAGCGCTCAATACAACAGAATGTATTTGGAATTTAGAAATATATATTTCATTTATATTAAAAAAATATTATATTAAATAATGAGTTTTATAGGGTTATATTTAAAAAATTAAATTTATTTCGCATTTATTAAATAAGAATGGTTGTATATTTAAATTATTTATATTTGAACAAAGAAGTTATTAATGCTATTAAAGTCCATAGGAAATCTATTTTAATAAAAAAAAATATATGTAAAAAATATAATATATATATGTATAAATTATTATATATATATATATAAATATAAGTATACATATAAATATGTAAAAATGTATATTTATTTATATATGTATAAATGCATATGTTAATATATATGAATAATATAATTCATGTAAATATATAATTCTGTATATATATATTTGAAAATATATATATATATATATATATATATATATATATATATATATATATGCATTTTAACATTTATATTTATTTATTTAAATAAATTTTTATATATATAATTTTTTTTTTTTAATTTTTTATTTTTAATACTATAAATGATCCTATTAATGTGCATAAAAATCCTAAAATAAATCCTTCTAAAGTTTTTCCTGGACATGTTCTTATAAAAGTTGTTTTTCCAAATAGCTTACTAAATAAAAATGTGAAAATATTATTCGTTGTTATTAATAATATAGGAAGTATAAACCATACTATTCCATCTAATATATTCATTACTATTACTGATGTTTATGCAATAACTAATAATAAAGCTAAGTGTATTAATGCAAATAATCTATATATTTTTATTTCTTAAATTTATTATTTATTTTTACCTAAATTAATATCTATAACATCCTTTTTTTAATGTTACAACAAATAATAAAAATCCTGATATCCATAGCAAAAATGAAATAAATTTATGAAAATTTATTACATATATTATTATTTTATTTGTTATATCTTCTGCATTTTAGAGTATTTTTGTGGTAAAAATTATACCAAAAAAATAGAATACTCCCACAAAAAAGAAATACCATTTTATTGTTTGAGAATAAGGAGTTTTTTAACCTATTATCTATTCATTATCTAAATTAATAATTTCTCTAAATGTCTCTTTTATAAAAATATATAATTTTTTAATGTATTTTTAGAAAAATTTATACCAAACATAATTATTAATGTCAAAAAAATGCAATATAAAGGTCCTAATGCTATAAATCCAACAAAAGAAAAAAATAAAGCTATTCCAACTAAAAAACTATATAGAATATATTTTAATACAATATTATTTTTAATTTAAATTATGGAAATTAATATGATTCTTTTTTTTACTTTTATTTTTTAACTTAAAAAGGTATTTTCTTTTTTAATTTCTATGAAAAAGAATCCAATTTTTTACGCTTTAATTTTTTTGAATATATTTTAATAAGCATACATATAATGATTTAATTTTTTTTTACAGTTAAATATTATTATATTTGATTCATTTTAGAATCGGAAACATTATCGTTTTTTTCATCTGTACCATCTGATTCAAAGTTTTTTTTTGAAAAAAATCGGTTTCTCATATACAATAATAATAAAATAAAATATATAAAAAAAAATATTTTTGAAATTTTATAATTTAATTATTAATGTGTTTAAAAGAATATAATATATGTATTTAATATAATAAATATATAAAAAAAAATATAATATTTATAAATAATTATATATATATATAATAAAAGATATATATATATATATATATATATACCTTTTATTTTTAATTTATATCATATTATTATTATTGTAATATTTTATAGTTTATATATATATATATATATATTATTATTTTTTTATTATTAATTTTTTAAATATTTCTTAATTTTTTTTAATTTCTTTTTTATTAATAAAAAAAATTTAAATTTTTTTATAATTTAATACTATTAATTTATATAATATTATTTTATTTTCATTAATTTTATATTAATATTTTTAAATTATACTTTTTTTTTTTTTTTACATATATATTAAATTTTCAAATTAAAATGAAACCAAATAATTCATATTGCAACAATTATGAATATTACTAAATTTAATTATTTTAATTTTAGTAATATAAATAAATAAAAGAAAATAATATTCATGAATAATATATAACTTAATTTTCTTCATTATTTTTTCTTTTAAATTAAAGCTAATTCCTTTGCAATTTTACCTCCAATAAAAGCATTATTTTTTATCAAAGCTATATTAGAATTTGAAGAATGTCCCTCCGTAATTTCATTAATTCTTTTTAATAAATAAGGAGTTATTTTGGATCCTCCAATTTATTAATCTTTTGCTTCTTTTAAAGCTTAATCAACTGCATTTTTAATTTTCTATCCATCAGCTTCTTATTCTTAAGGAATAGGGACAGTAACAAGTATTCCATTTTACAAATTTAAACAATTAAATTACATATATATTAATTCTGCAATTTCTTTATCAGAATCGCATTTAGTAGAATTCTTTAAAAAAAAAAAAAAAAAAAATATTTTTATTAATTTTATTAGAAAATACATAAAATCCAGAATCACTTATAAAAAATTCTGGAAACTTATCGGTTTTATAGCCTACTACAGGAACTCCTTAAGTTTCTAAATATTCGAGTGTTTTTGGAATATCTAGAATTGATTTTGCACCAGAGGAAACAACTACAACCTTTTTTTTTTTTTTTAGCTTTAAAGAAATAAAAAAAATAATAATAATTATAGAACTTATGTTTATCCTAATTCTATTAAATCAGTAGATATATCAAATGTAGTTTCGGCACCTCTATGCACACCTCCAATACCTCCAGTGACGAAAATTTTTATTCCGGCTAAGTTTGCACATATCATGGTTGCGGATACTGTTGTTGAACCGTTTTGTTTTTTTATTAAACAATCAGATAAATCTCTTCTACTGCATTTTTTACATTTTTGACCTTCTTTTCCTAAATATTCTATTTCTTCATGGCAAACTCCTACCTTGTTGTTTTTTTTTTATATATATATATATATATAATATGTGTTTTATTTTTTACTTTTATTCTTCCTGATATTATTGCTATTGTAGCTGGAATCCCACCTCCTAATCTTACTTATTATTCTACTTATAATGCAGTTTGAACATTTGTAGGATATTCCATTCCTTTTTAATTATTTATTTATTGTTTTATCTTTTTTATTTTTGAAATGAATATTTTATTTACCATGAGTTATTATTGTTGATTCTAAAGCTACTACGGGGCCACCTTGTTATATTGCCTCTTTTATATGTGGGGCTATATCTAAGGGTAAGGTTGTGTTCATTTTTTTATTTTATTTAAATATATTTTTATAAAGATTCAATTATAATAAAAAATTATGTATTATATATTTTATTTATTTTTATATAAAATTATATTATATTTTAAAATTTTAGTATATATCTTTTATTGTTGTCTAAGGTATATTCTTTTAAATATAATTTTTTTATTTAATTTTACAAAATATTTTTCAATTATATAAACTTATAAGTTTATTATATTTAATATAATAATTTTATGTATAAAAGTATTTTTTTCAATATTTTAAATTTAATTATTGAAATAAATTTATTTTTAAAAAATATTGTTAACTATATAATATATAAAATTCAGTATTTTAGTCTTAAATTATTAATTTCTATAATATATATTAAATAATTTCATCAGATATATATTAAAAAAAAAATGTTATTTCCAAAAAAAATATAAAAAATTTATTTTTATAATGTTTTTTTAATAAAAAATAAAATTTAAAATATTAAAATAAAAAATTATTGAATATTGTAATATATTGTTTAATTGTAATTAAAAAGAAAAATAAGAAAAAGAAAATACTATAGAAAATTATAATTACTTATAAAACTTTTTCCATATAAATTGATTAAAATAAAAACTATATATATATATTTATTTTTAATAAGAAATATATATATATATTTTTGTATTTTTAATTAAAAATAGTATTTGAATGAATTAAATTAAGATTATTATCAAAATTTATAAGTTTAAAAATAAGCAAAAATTAAATTTTATTTGTCAAAGTATAATATATATAAAAATTTAGATTTTTTGTTGTTGTAAAAAAAAATACAGATATAAAAAACGTCTTTTTTATTTAAGATTATCAATATAATTTAATTCCTTGTGAATATTCTGAATTTGGTTTAAGAGTAAAAGAATAAAAAATAAAGAACAGTTTATTCTTAATAATTTAAAATGGTATATTCAGGAATTAAAAATATCAGTAAGCATAAGATTAACTAAAATGAAAAAAAGAAGATTTATTATAACTTAATAATAAACTTTTAAAAGAACAATAAATTAATTATACTTATAACGATCATAATAGAAAGAAAATATATTATAAATAAGAATTAAAAAAATACTTTATAATAACATGATAAACATTGTCATGAAAAAATATATAAATACATTCAATTTGTTTCTTTTTATTTATTTTAATAGAAAATAAAATAAAAAAAATATATCGTAGAATATAAAAAAAAGAAAATTAGAAAGATGAAAATATTTAAATAAGAAAAAACAAAAAAAATAGAAGTTTAAAAATAAAATATTGAAAAATTATATTTTTAAAAATAATTTATTTAAAAAAAATAATAATAAAAACATATAGAAAAAATTATAAAAAAATATAAAAAAAAATTATAAAAAATAGAAAATAAAAATTAGAAAAAAGAAAAAAAAGAAAAAAAGTATTTTAATAAAAAAATATATCTTTTAAAAGAATTAAACTTTAAATTTATAAATAAAAAAAATTGTGTAAGATAAAAAAATAAAAATATACAAAAATAAGCTATTAAAAAAATAATTTATATAAAATTTTAACGAATAATTTTAATTTTTTAAAAATATATATAATAAATATAAATAATTAATATTATATTAAAATAAATAAAAATAAAAAAATTAAAGAAAAAAAATAAAAAAAAAGAATATTTTTAAATAAAAAATAATATATATTTAAATAAAAATTAAACAATAATAACCTAAAATTAACAATTAATTAATAAACTATTCTAATAATAATAAAAAAAAAAATGTAATATATAAATTTAAAAAAAAAAAAATGTAAATTTAATATATTTATAAAAATCTATAAATATTTGATAAATAAAAAAATATAAAAATTAATTATAAAAATAAAAAAGTTAAATTAATAAATTAAAAAATATAAAAATAAATATATAAATAGAAAAAATAATATAGAGCTAATTAAAAAAATAATATATAAAATAAAATAATATAAAAATATAAAAAAATTAAATTTAAGGATTTAATAAAAAATGATGTATATAAATTATATAAATTTATATATATATATATTTAAATATATATTTATATATATTATTATATATTTATTTATATTTTATATATATTATAATATTTTTTTTTTTTTTTAATTTATAAATATTTGTATTTTTTTTACATTTATCAATTTTTTATATATTGTTATGCTAAATAATTTTTAAATATTTATTGTATATTTTTATTCTACTCTATTATATCTAAAGGTATCATAAAAATCATACTTCTAATTTTCTATACATCTTTACTTAAATAATTTAATACTTATATCCAATAAGTTAAATAAATAATCATTAAAAGTACAAAATTTGAAATAAGAATAATAATTTTTAACATTTTTACTTTTTCATATTCTTAATGAATACTTAATGTGAAATTGTCTATAAGATATCTAATAAAAGGCTTTAAAAAATTTTATTAGAAAATTTATATTTCAACCATTTCTGTATTATTTAAATTTTATATTTAATTATTATTTTTAACATTTAATTATAATGATATATTTATCAATTTTTCAGTATGGTTTTATAGCGAAATTATAAGTCCTTAAGTGAGTGTTTTTTTAGAAAATTCTAGACATTTTAATTCACTAAAAAGTGCTAAATCTGCCAGTTTTTTGCAACTATTTTACACCATTATTTCCTCATATTAATTATTATATGAATCTTAGTGAATTTTTATATTTTTAGAATGCTCTTTTTATATTTCATTATATAAATTGTATGTTTTTTCGACAAATGTATTTAAAAAAAGACTCTAATATGATGTATCGGATAAAAAAGTAGGATCTATGGCAGTTTATTTGATTACATTGGATGTAAAAATGAGAAAAGGTTCCAGATTATTAGTTACATTGAATTCTTGTATTATTTGATTCAAATATTTTAGATTTTATGTGGAAATATAAAACGAGAATGCGAAATAAGACTGGAATATGAACAACGTAAGGAAAAATGGGAAGAAAAATTTAGTTTTATTTTAAATGTTTATTTGGAGATTTTTTCGTTTTTTTTTTTTGGTTTGGCTATTAATGATTAATCTTCATCTTCTTCTTCATTTTTTATATTATCTTCCGAAACATCATCATCATCTTCAGTGTTTTGGATAGAAATTAGAAAGATTTCGCATTTATAGTATTGTTTACGGACTTTTTATATAGGAATTTCAAGAAAAAGGGATAAAATTTGTCTCTAAGAGTGGTTTATGAGGATATAAAAAGGCAAAATAGACAATATGGAGCATAAGACAAAAGAAATGGATGTTATTAGTAATTTAATGAATACATCGTTTTTCTCAGAAGTCCATTTTTGGAGTTCTTTTAGGAAAAAATCAAAAAGCGTGAATTATTTTATTGAAAATTCATTAAGAATATTTTTAAGTAAGAAAAAAAAATCTGAATTATTATATTAATATTATTTACTATTTTATTCTTTGACTTAATTGATTTTACTTAAAATTAATTAATTAGCCTACTAGAGTTCAAAAAGTCTATTTGCATATGTATTTGGAGGCTCAAAAAACACCATTGTGATATTTTCATGTAAATAATTTTAAGGACTTTTTAAAATTATATAGTCATTTACTTATTTTAATTCATCAAAAGTCTAGTTTAATTCTTCTTTTAAAATCTCGAATGTTTTACCTAAATTTATTGCTTTTTATTCTAATATATATATTTGCATTATTTTATCGGCTACATGTTACATATTTGCATTTAAATTTGATTAATATTCGATTATATGGACTAAATTATCTACTTAGGATAATTGTTAGTCTGTAATAAAATGATTTAAAGTGGAGTATGATAATATTAATATTATAAATATAAAAACACAGATTTTATAGTAGTTTAAGACATATGATTCTAAAAAACCACTTTCTTGAATGAATTTGGAAAAAGCTTTACGCTTTTTGAATATGTTAGAAATATCGTTTTCTTGTTTTTAAGTTTACTGTTGTTAGTTTATATTACTTTTTTTATGAGTTTCTTAGTTTTATTCTTTTTTGAGATCATTTTCTTAGTTTTATTCATTTATTTCGTTTAGGTCTTGCTCGATTTCTTCTTCTTCTTTATAAAAGTCCTCAACGTCATGTAGTTTTTAACCTAATAATCTTAAGGTTTTAATGTTTTGGCTGTAGTTTATTGGTTAACTATATTAAGTTGATTTTTTAGAAACTTGTATTATTTCATCGAAAAGTTCTTCTTTTTTGGATATATTGGCGTTTGTGGAGTTAATATTATAATTAGAAAGCAAAATACAATTTTAGTTTATAGAGAAATTAGATATTTCTTTACTTTTACCCAATAGATTCGAATCATTAGATACTAATAATTATGGATTTCCAAAAACAAATTATCCTTTATATGAATTACTATCTAAACAAAAAATTAAATTCAAATAATATTATTATTATTATTATTATTATTATTATTATTATTATTATTACTATTATTATTTTTAATATTTTATATAATATGAACTATTTTATTATTTTTTTGTATTTTATTAATTTTATATTTATGAATCATTATTTGTTTAATCATTTATTTTTTCTATTCTAATTAAATATCCAGACAATCCTATATTTTTGAATTCTATTTCTATTTAACTAATTTTAGCTAAAAACTATCCATTTATTTTTTAGAAATCTTTCACATTTGTAATAAATCCATTTTTATCCATTATCTATTTTTTATTTTCCCAATATACACTTATTAAGTCTGTAATAAGATAATCATTCTATGTTATTTTTTTTTAATCTAATCCTAAAATATTTATACATTAACTGCTTAATTCTTGAATTGTTCCTTCTTTGTTTATTAATATGCTACATTATTCTTTTAAATTTTTAAATAATCGAAAATTACCTATAAATTAAAGTCCATGAATTATAGAAGGCTAATGTTTTACTAAGGCATTTATAGGGACTATATAACCTTGTTTTGTTTTTAAAGGTACAAGCACTTCAGTATTCAAAATTCGATTTTCTAATGTAGATAAGTAGTTTTGAACGAATTAATTATGATTTTTTCCGTATAATTCAGGCATTAACATATTTACATTTTTGCTTATCATATCTAATTTATTATAACCAGAAAGGGCTACAATAGCTAAATTAACATTTGTTATATGACATAAAGAGTCATCTTCAGCACTAATAATAATAGATGGTCTAGAATCTTTATATAAATAAAAATATAAAAAAATATATATATAAAAGTAAATATAAATATATATATTTATAATATTAATATTTATTAAAATAATTACCTGATGACAAATCTTAATTACTACTTAATTTATTTTATTAGCTTTTTGAATTTGCATCAATTAATTTATTTATGATATTTAAGGAACCCTCATTATCATTTAGAACTTCAGAAAGGAATTTAGAATAGATTCTCATTAAAGAAGGTATATATGCATTTATTTTCATTAATTTATTCCAATTTATTTCCACATTATTGTTGCATGTAGATATTTAAAAACCTAAGTCACTTAATTTTTCTAGGTCAGGTACATCTTCACTTAATTAAGACCAGAATTCTAAATGTAGTGAAGTGCTTTTTTCAATAAAATTTTTACAGTATTTTTCGTGATTTTAAATTGTTATTTCATTCAACATATCAGTTGCATTTGTTTAATCAATTTATTTAGTTCCTGTATTATTATTATTATTATTTTTCTCAAATATTTCGTTCTCAATAATTTTTTTATATCGAAAAACTATAAATTCTTAATCAAAAACAGGATTTTCGTTCTATGCATTTATCAATTCCTGTAAAGCTTATTATGGACTTCTCATAATATCAACTAAATAAATTGAGTACATTATTCTTAGTTTTGTATTATTGGGAAATTTCTATAGAGCTAAATAGTACATAGTCTATATTACTTAATATAATATTATGAGATTTTCCGAAACTTTTTCTTTTCGCAAAGCTAAAGAGAATTTCGTTGTTTTTGAAAATTTTCGTTTCGAAGGACATTCTGGCTTATTACAATAGATTCTATGGTGATTCAAAAAACCATCTAGCATTATTTAGGCATGTTTACTTTGGTTATATTAGCAAACTAGATTTGTTATATATTAGATTTATTATAAAGGTTCTTATAGTATTTCATAAGAATTAGAATTTATTAATAAAATATCATATCTAGAATCTGTTTTATTTAAAACTAAAAAATAAATAAAAGGGATACATATAATCCAAATTAAACCACAGTCATCAAAATGATTTTTTTCGGTTATTTTTCCAAGTAGAAGCATTATACTAGTCCATAAATTAATAGAGTGTAGAATTGTAAAAAGCTTAGAAATTATAATGTTTTTATGGTTTAAACTAAAAACATTTATTTCGAAAAGGAAAAACCCTCCAATAAACATCATTAATATAAAAATGAGGTCATAACCTTTCTCTACTAGAAAAATAAAAGCTATTTATAATATTAGTTTATATGTAAATAATAAAAAATCATTGCGGCCGGTATTTTTGGAATTACAATCGGAAGTATTTATTCGACTGCCGTAAAAAATTAAGATCATTATTCCGGTATATAATGATAATATTAAAGCACATAATATGCCTAGAAATAAATCAGCTGTTTTTTGACTACCGTAGCATTCGGAAGATTCGAAAATATAATGTATTTATTTATTATTTTGGTCTGTTTTACAGTTAAATGGACTAAGAAATAACTAAAGGAATGGTAAATATAAAATTGTGGTTATAAATTCAGTAAAAATTCTTAAATAATATATTGGGTAGTAAAGAAAATTTATAGAACCTTTTGTTGTTACACATATATATATCAATAATAACATACTGAATAAAAATATACTTATTACTAAGTAAAATATTATTTAATATTATTAATATGTTATATTTTTTGTGTTTAAAAAATTCTAATAAATCATTGTAAATCCTAAAAAACGTTAAATTAATTAATATTAATTGTTTTTCCATGAGTCTTTGAATATATCGTTAAATTAAAAATTCAAAAGCTAAAATGTTTCAATTTGAATAAATAAAATACGCCAATAAATGTTTAGTCGATCACCATTTAATAAATTAAAAGTTAGATTAAATATACTACTTTTTATATCTTTTATTAGTTTTTGAAAAAAATGGTAGGTTTCTTATTGGTTTTAGTTGTCTTAGTCTTATTCGAAATTTTCATCTTCCTATTGTTTTATCATTTTTGGATGTTATTTTATATTCTTTTTTATTTTATAAAAAAATTTAATATTTTTAAACTTTAAAATTAAAAAATTATGTTTATAAAAATTATATATTTTTTGTTTAAAAAAACAAAGAAAATTGATTTTTTTTTTATCTTATTTTTATTATTAAATAATATTGATAAAATAGTGAAAAAAATAAAATGAATATTAATATGCAATATATAATTTTACATTTTTTTTTATAAAATAAAATATTTTAAATTTTCTACATTTAGAAAATAATATATAATAATTTTTAAATTCATAAAAATAAATATATTTTTTTCTTTTTACTCATAAAATTATTATTAATTTTTTCATTTATATACATAATAATTTGAAGAATAATAATTTAATGAAAAAAATCTCAAAAGAATAATCATATTATTCAACCGATTAAACTAATTAAATAGAATTAGGTTCAAATGTGCATTAAAACATTAAAATAGATCCTTAAAACGATCGTTTTCCATTTTGTATTGTATGGACAACTTTGCCATTTATTTCTTGGTTTTTACCTTTTATCGGACATACAGGAATAGCAACGTAAAAAAATAAATAAAAAAAATATATTTTATTGTTTTCTCATATATAATAAAATAATAGTACAGATGGAATCATACATGATTTTTCAGGACCTTATACTATATCGATTGACTAATTTGCATTTGGATAACCATTAAAGTTTTTTTTTATATTAAATTTTATAATAAAAAAAACAAAAAAAACTTATAATTCTTAGATATGTTAAATTAGATGCAAAATAATACTAAATTAATGAAAATGTGTATAATGATGGAATAATGAAAGGAGATAAATAATATTCATAAATGATGGTAAAATGAATAATATTAAATTATTATTTTTTTATTCATTTTTTTTTTAATAAATAAAGCATAATCTTTTTACGTAAAAAAAAAAAATATATTATTGAAAGAAATATATTATTGAAATTATAATATATTAAAGAAATAATTGTCATAGTCATGTAGCAGATTGTTTAAATTATATGTAATATAAAGGAAAAACTAATTGGAATATGATTTATGTATGGGCATTATGTATTTTTTGCAGTAGGTATGTTAGGTAAATAAAATTAAAGGAATAATATACTTTATTTATAATTTTTATAAAATTATGCTATTTTTTTTTTTAGATTATATTTAATTTGTAAAAAAATATTAATCTTTTATTTTTAATTATAGTTGGAGAAGCATAGTTAGAATATATCTTCCTTTCATAATTATTGTTTAAATTATACTTTTAGTTAAATATATATAATGATTATTCACTAGTAATACGATAAATATTATAGAATATATATATTTATTATGATTAGATAAATAAAATATTATATATATATATATATATATATATTTTTTTTTTTTTTTGTTATTAATATTTTTTGTTTGATTATATATATTATTAAATATATTATTAATAAATTTTATTTCAAAATTAATATATATTTACAATAAATAAATTATTATTAAAAATATATATCTTTTTAAGGTAAAACTTTATTATATTATTTTTAAATATAAATATTTATTAATTTAATTATATTTTATTATTTTCTCTATTTTTAAATTATATAAATTAAAATAAATATATATATGTTAATAAATATATCTACTAATAAATAGTTTTAATATTTTAATAAATATTTTTTTATAAAAGAAATTTATATAACAAAATTTTATAAATTTAAAATTCTATTTAAATTTATTAAAATAATTTAATTTTAATTATATTATAAAATATATAATAATTTATTAAAATGACTTTTATCTTTTTGTAAAAAAATACTAAAGAATTATAAATTTTTTATTAATTTAATTTATTTTATATTATTTATTTATATCTTTTATCCATATTTCTAACTATTTGTCAAAAATTTAATTAATAATTTATAATGATTTTATGATGCATTCGTTTTTTATTTTTTCTATATGTTTTATTTTTATATAATTAAATTTAATTATTTTTAAATTCTGTATAAAAAAATAATTTTCTATATATTAATATTATTGAATACAAAAATATATAAAGTCAAAAATTATTTTCTTATTTTTTATTTTTAAAAATATCTTAATTATTTTATAATTATAGTTTTTATAATCAATTATATGAAGTTCAATTATTTATTAACTCTTTTTTTATTAAAATGAATAGTAATTATTAATATAAATATTAACCAGAAATATTTATTTTAAAGAAATAAACATAAATAGTAATTATAATATATTTTATATTATAGAATTCTATAAAAAAAAATATACATATATATATATATTTTATTTAATATATTAAAATGATATTATTTGCATAAAATTTTAGTAAACAATTAAAATAAAAGAAAAACAAGTTTTATTTAAAATAAAATGAAATTTAATATTAATTATTAAAAATAAAATATTTATTTTATTACAATATTTGATAATTATTTTCTAAAAAATTCTATGTTAAAATATTAAATTTTACTTTTAATACTATTTAAATAATAATAATAATATATTTTTTGTAAATAAAAAATATATTTAATTTTTAAAACAAAAAATATAATTTTTAATCCTCAAAATTAATATTTTTTTAAAAAAAATTATTTTTATTTTTTTACTTATCTTAATTTTTTTTTTTTATAATTATAAATTTGTTTTAAAAATAATTATATTAACATAATTAAAAAATAAATATAATAGAAAATAAATTATTTATATGAGTAATTTTTTTTGTAATTTTATCTATTTTTAATTCATTCCGAATCACTAGCATAATCACTATTATCTACATCAATTATATTATAAAAGTAATTAAAAAGCGTATCTCTTTTGAATTTTAAACTAGTAAATAATTCTTTGCTTATAGAAATATTTTAATTTTAGCTTTTAAAATCTTAAGCAAGCTATTAAAAATTTTAAATATTGTATTCTTAAAATTCTAATTTAGATTTTTTTAATAGAAATATAACAAAATAAATAGTTTTTTTAGCAATAAAAAATTATTACTAAGAAAATTAATCTTATTTTTACTATAAATCATTAATAATATTATTTATTAGAATCAAATCTTCATTTAGAGTAGTTTAATTTATTTGTTTTTGTTAGTGTTTTTCACAGTATTTAAATATTTTACTTCTGTATAAGTTTAATTTTTTAGTTATACGGTTTAAATTTTAATCAGCATAGTGGCAGTTAATTCTAAACATTTATTAGTCGTTTTTTTCAAATAGAATTCTTGATATCATTTTATTTATAATAATTATGTTTTTTTTAAAAAGTTATTTTACTTAAAAAAAAATTTATATTAATTAATTTATATAATTATTTATTAATTTAGATAATATTTTTTTTTGTTTTAAATAAAAAAATATATGTATAAATATATTCGATTTAAAATTAAATAGAAATTACTATTATATTATAAATATTAATTAATTTGTTAAATGCAATTTTTTAAATTGTAATCAAAATAAATTAAATAAAAAAAAAATGAAATTTTAATTATTTTAATTAGATATTTATTTATGAAATTATGCTAATATGTCAATAATGAATATTTTATTTAACAAAATTATAAAATTTTTAAAGAAGTTTAACTAATATATAAATAGAAAATATAAATTGAAAAATAAAATAAAAATCTTAATATTTAAAGAAACTAAAATAAAAGATTTTAAAATAATTAGTTTCAAAAGTAATAAAAAAAATTTAAATTGATTTTTTATTTATAAAATGTATATAAATAATTTAATTCGATTTATATTAATACGTAAAAAAAAATATATTTAATTTTTATAATTTGTATTATATTATGATTTATTAATATATTAAGATATATAAATAAAAAAATATAATTTTAATAAAATTTTAAATCAAATTAAAATAATTAAATACATATAAATCAAATGAAAAAAAAAATATATATATATATTAAAAAATAAATTATTCTATGATAAATTATTTATAAATAATCATTTATTTTTTAAAAATTAATATAATAATTAATTAAATTCTATAAAATTAAAATATAAAAAATATTTTTTAAACAAAAATTATATAATATTAATTTATTTAAAAAATATATTATTTGATTATTAAAAATATAAAATAGGTTATTAATATAAATTTGTAATTGATTATATTTAAAAATATGTATATGTATTAATTTTTATAATTATATATTTATATATTTATTTATTTATATATTAATATATATTTAATAAGTTTTTACAATATAATTCATATTTATTAAAAAAATATTTTGTTATAAAATAATCATTTTTATTTCATTTCATTATTTTTTTAAAGTAAAATATTATATTTTTAGATTTAATATATTATTATGTTTATTTTTTATAGTATTATTTTATTTTTTAATTACTATTATTTGTCATATAATAATTTGTTTAATTTTCTAATACTTTATATTTGTATTTTCTATTATTTTACTTATTAATTTTTTTTTTTATTTTACTATATTATTATATAATTGAATATTAAATTTAAATTTTTCTTAGTATATATATATTTTCT